CACACACACAAAGACACACATATACATATATACAAACATAAGATAATTCAAAGTACAAAAACAAACAAACTGAAGCAGGTAGGAGACACATTCCTGATGATCCCAGCACTAGGGAGGCCAAGTAAGGAGACCAGGATCATTTGTAAAAGGGCCAAACAACACTAAATAAAATCCTCTCCTAAACTCCCACTATGAAGGAGAATGGGTACCAAGTCTCTTTGCACCTCCATTTTTCTCTTTTCCCAATATTTCAGTCTACTTGAAGATCAGGAGTAATGGAAAACATTTAAATTCTTTTTAATATTTTATTTATTTTTCTATGTGTGTGAGTGTATTGCTTGCATGCATGTAACTGCACTTGTGTCATACAATGCCTGCAGAAGTCAGAAAAGGGCATCAGATACCCTGGGATTGGAGTTACAAACGATTGTTACCCATGTGGGTACTGGGATCCAAACCTGGATCCTCTTCAAGAGCAACCAGTGCTCTTAACTGCTAAGCCATGTCTCCAGCCCCAGGAAAACATTTAAATTCCATTTCTGATTAACTCCTCTAGGCTGAGTGAATATCCCTTATCCAAAATGCATGGAACAAGAAGGGTCTCTGATTTAGGATTATTTTTTATCTTGGGGATGAGACTCAAGAATAAGAATAAATTTATATTTCACATACGCATTCTATATATAGTCTGACGGTAATTTTATACAATAATTTTACGCATCTACATGCTCACTACAAATCAGAAAATGCAGTCAGGTGCAGACTTTTACACTTATTGGTATCATAGCAGGACCCAAAAAATTTCAGAAAGTGGAAACTTTTCAGTAGAAATGCTCAGGCCGTAATTCCCTTTTTATTTAAAATCCTACACTGAAAAATATAATTTCGAATTTATACATTAATTTGGAAATCAGAGTTAAAATCAACAAACAAATTCTGTGCACAATTTCTTGACCACTACAGTGTAGGTTCAGAGCCATGTGCTGCTTACTAGCATGGGTACCATGAGAATGCCTTCTGTTACAAATGGGAATCTCACCTAACCTTGCAATTAACTCTACCTCAGCTTGTTTACAATATAAACACTCTTACCAAGCTTTGGCTCCTCCTGTAAACTAAACTTCAACCCCTCATGACCCTTCCTTGCCCCAACCCAGATTAACCTCTCTGCTTGTGCGTGTGCACGCGTGTTATGAAAATATCAGCACTGAAAGCAGCAAATGTTGTTGGAAGCAGTTTATGTTGAAAACGAGTGGGATTAGACTGATGACATCTGTCTGTGGTTGTGTATATGGTTCTGGGTAAAGGGGATCAGAAAGGGAAAATCCTTCTCTAAAAACACAGGTTCCTCATTCCTTTCCCATATCATGCTGGAGGTACTGTTTCAAAAAATATAGAGCAAGGTCTTTGTTCAAAGGATCAGTTCCAAGAGAACTCAAAAGGAGCAAGCTCCAATAACAGATTGGGTTCCCTTTGGATTTAACAGACTCTAAGGGTCAGGCCGTCTTTGCTCACGCACTGCTGTAATGTGGCATCTCTCTGACACAGTATATCTGTGGGCAATTGCTTAACCACTCTTGTATGCTAGTTATGCAGGAAATGGGGAAGATAATTACTACATGAAATATCTACTACATAAAATTAGACAAGTCAAAATATTCAAAGTACTTAGACTAGTGCCAGGAATATAAGGACCCTCCAGTAAACTATTATTTTTTTGCAGTGTCTTTTGTTTTTATACTTATGTGTAATAATGATATACTAATAAAGTTTATTTTAGTTTTGCAGGATTATCTACAACCTACATTCTAAATGACATTTTCTATTCTCTTTTATCTAAAATAAGTATGTAATCACTTATAAAATTTTGTAATTGGTCAAATCATTGATACATTCATTCATTAAATAATTAGTGAATTTCTGTTATGTGTCATGTACTGTTCTAAACACCTGGATATATTACACACACACACACACACACACACACACACACACACACACACAGCCCTTATGGAGCTTATAGACAATAGATAAAAGGCATAATACATAAGCACACTATACAATATTTGGGGATGTGAAAGAGAGAGAAAAGGAGACAAGGAGAGAGAAAAAAACCTTAGATGAAGATGGTCCTAAAACACTTTAAATTCAAAGTGTAGAACACAAGCACTCATTCCACAGTTCTTACCTTCAGATCTCGGTGAATTATGGGGGTCTTACACTGATGCAACCTTGCGACAGCTTCACAGGTATCACAGAAGATTTGTAACACTTCGGATTCAGTAAACCCTGTCTGCAGCTTCTTGTTCATCTGATTCACCACCTGCCCAGCTAAACAAAAGAAGCAATTCTGAGAGGACATGTTTCTAATGAAGTCTCACACAAATATACTCAGAAATGTCTTTACGGGTCCAGGATATGGAAGGTTGGCTTTCGCATAATTCTCACGTAAGGACACATACCCTATTGCATTAAGTCTGTGATATAATTTTCACATGTTACATCTCTGAGATCAGAACATAGTAAGATACATAATACTATTTGCTAAGTTTTTAGCAACAAAACATTTCTGAAATTGCTGTTTGCCTTATAATTAATGACATTATTATTTGATAAAATGGTTATTCATCACTATGTTTTATACTGGGGAAACAATGAAGAAAAATAAGATTTCTATTACCACAGAATTTACAAAGATAAAATGAATATCACAAATACATAACTACAATTTTTGTGATTCATATGAGGCAACTTAATAGAAAACTTGAATTTAGACTGGTAAAAAGGATGGGAGGAGAGGGTGTCAGCTTAGGCTCATCTAAAGAGGTGAGAACCGAACAATACTTAGGAATCAACAAGACAAACACTTAGGAGAATGTGCTAGTAATAATGAGTAGTATGTAGAAATGCCTACTGTTCAAAAAGGAATTTGATAAATAGGAATAACTTTTTTTAATTATTTATTTAATAACCACATGATTAGAAGAAGCATTTCATTACAGCATTAACATATTCAATAACAATTTCCAGAGCAAAGATGCATCTCTTTCAAAAATGGCTGTAAATTTTTAGGTTCACAGTTGAATTAATATAAATTATACAATACTGAACTCGCTATAAACTCTGTAAGACATAAAATTGAAAGGTTTTAATCTTTAAAAAAGATCTCCATTTCATTTTAAAATATATTTCATATAGAAAAACTCATTTTCAATGCTACTAACACTTAAGAAGTTTGCACATGCGTCTCTAATCTCTATGTATCTGATTATTACTAGTCACATCGGTTACTTTCCGAGATACTTGGCATCTGAGCATGGATATAAAATCAGGTAGATTTCAATGGTAATGTTTTTTACCTCTACTAACTAACATGAAGCAAATTTTTATGCTTCTTCGTCAAATATAATTCATTTATTTGTTGATTTTTTTTTGTATTTCATACAGAACATCCCAAACAATTCTTATTCATTTATATACCCACATGCCAAATGGAACCCTCCCACAGACTCCCCCCAACCCCAACACTGGAGCCCATATACTCTGTCATCCCTGTTACTGTCCACTGTGTTGTCAGCACCACTAGCCGTTCCCCAGTGCTTGTCCATCTGCTGAATCTAGTCAGCCTATCTAAAGTTTCTTCTTTTAGAAAGATCAGCTCTTCCTCATCTAGGATCAATCAGGTGTCAATATTTCTTTAAATGAGACCGGGGTCTGCTGTTCCTTTTCCCAGTTCTGTACTGGGTTACTGTCTGGGAGTCACTTGGGCCATCCTGGCCAACAACTCAAAGGAAGGTATCTCCTGTCTGGCATTATTTCTTGTTATGTAGCCTTTAGCAAGACACATGGACTCTTAAAGAATTACACTGATCCCTTTAATTTTTGGTTAAACATTCCTTTTGGGTATTTGACCATACAGTTGGACAAGACAAACCAATTTACTTTTACTCTTAAGGTCATTTGAGGATCTGTTCCTCAGGGGTCACATGGGCTTGGGAGGAGCCCCTGGATCCTTCCTTTTACCTATTCCATTTACGTGATGATAAGTCAAAGGTCCTGCTCGACCCTGGCTGGCTTCACTTGGAAGCATGGAGGAAAAATTTCCTCTGTGTTGACCCTCCTCTTTGTAGACTGGATACAGGTCCAAGTCCATTTGGTGGGGTCTCCATGGAATCCTTGACCAAGAGGAAAGGTGACTCACCACAGTTACAGGACATTTTAAGAGGTGGTCATAGTCCCCTGGAATTTAGGTGACCTAGGAGGGCAAGGAGCAAAAACCGTCCTGTATGTCCCTCTGACCAAATGAGTATAGGCCTCAAACTATGGCTGTTAAACATCCAAGAAGGTTGGTTCTACCAGTCTAGTACTTTTAATTACCATGTGCTATGTAGATAAAGCTTGGGCAAAGACCGATCGTTCACAGATAAACCTTGCCTAGACATATAATATATTCCTTGAGCTAGTTGTATGTATACTTTGTCAGTAGGTTGTTTGATTAATATGATTTCCTCTGGTGTTTTTTTAAACTAGCTAGGCATTATTTATCTCTCACATTGTCTAACCCTTCCACCATGGTTTCCACAATTAAAGTACACCCATTTTTCCCATTTCTCCTTTAACAATACCCTTCACCTATGGTCCCACCTCTCTTGAGATCCTTCTTTCCCTTTATTCCCAAGGTTCCTTGTATAACCCTCCCTCCCCATTTTTATTGATATCTCCCTTATTAACGCATGTTTCCCACTGTTCCTCTCTTTCAGATTCTTTCTTTTCCTTGACCTCCCTGTTTCCTTGCCATTATCCTGGGTCCTGTACTTATGACTGGATACATACTCACTTACAAGGATTTGGTGCTAGGATCCACATATGAGGGAGAACATATGTCAATTTTTTTTCTGAGTCTGTGTTACTTCACTTAGTATAACAGTTTCTAGTTCTATCCATTTACCTGCAAATTTCATGATTTCATCTTTCTTTACTGATGAGTAAAACTCTATCATATAAATGAATCACATTTTCATTATCCACTTGTCAGTTGAGGGACACTTAGGGTGCTTCCATTTCTTAGCTATTGTGAAAAAGTAGCAACAAACATGGATGTACAAGTGTCTCTGCAATAGGATTTCTTTGGGAATATACCGAGGAATTCTCTTGATCTTAGCCAGTCTGACTGGGGTAAGATGAAATCTTAAAGTGGTTTTAATTTGCATTTCCCTAATTATTAGTGATGTTGAACATCTTTTAAGATGCTTCTTAGCCATCTTTATTTCTTCTTTTGAGAACTCTCTGTTCAGCTCCTCGGCCCATCTTTTAATTGGGGAACTTCCTTTCTTGATCCTTTGTTTTCTGAGTTCTTTATATATTCTGGATGTTAAACCTCTGTCAGATGTGTTGTTGGTGAAGATTTTCTCCCATTCTGTGGGTTTTCTCTTCACTTCCTTGGTTGCTTCTTTTGATGTACAGAAGCGTTTTAGTTTAATGAGGTCCTATTTGTTGATTCTTGACCTTGTTTCCTGAGCAATGATGTCCGGTTTAGATAATCCTTTCCTACACCTATATCTTGTAGGATATTGCCAATGTTTTCTTCTAAGTTTCAGTTTCATGCTTCACATTGAGGTCTTTGATCCATTTGGAGTTGACTTTTGTGCAAGGTGAAATATAAAGGATTAGTTTCATTTTTCTACAGGTGGAGATCCAGTTTTGCCAGCACCATTTGCTGAACATGCTGTTCTTCCTCCAGTGAATATTCTTGGCCCCTTTGTCAAATACCAGGTGAATGAAATTGCATGTGCTCATATTTAGGTCTTCAATTTTGTTCCATTGATCTGCAGATCTATTCTTGTGCCAATACCATGTTGTTTTTATGACTATAGTGCTGTAATACAGCTTAAAATCTGGTATAGTAATTCCCCCCGGCATTGCTCTTAGTGTTCAGGGTTGTTTTGGCTATCCGAGGTCTTTTGTGCTTCCATATGAATATTAGGATGTTTTTTTTCCAACTCTGTGAAGAATGTCATGGGGATTTTGACTGGCATTGCATTGAATCTCTAAATGCCTTTTGGGAGGATGTTCATTTTCACAATATTAATTCTTCCAGTGCATGAGCACAGGAGGTCTTTACATCTGATGTCTTCCTCAATCTTAAAATTTTCATTGTAGAGCTCTTTAGTATCTTTGGTCAGGTTTATTCCAAGAATTTTTTTTTTTTAATGTTTATTCCAAGATTTTTAATTTTCTTTGCAGCTCTTGTGCAGTCTCTCTCTCTCTCTCTCTCTCTCTCTCTCTGATTGCTTGTTTTTGGTATATAAAAAGGCCAAAGACTTTTGTAGACTAATTTTGTAACCTGCCACTTTACTGAAAGTGTTTTTCATTTCTAGAAGTTTTCTGGTAGAATTTTTGGCATCTCTTAGATATAATCTGAAAAGGGGGATAATTTGATCTCTTCTTTTCCGATTACTCCTTTAATTTCCTTCTCTTGTCCTAATTGCTCTTGCAAGAGTTTCAAGCACTACGTTAAAAAGGAGTGAAGATAATGGACAGCCTTGTCTGGTTCCTGATTTTAATGGGAATGCTTCCAGTTTTTTTCCATTTAGAATGATGTTGGCTGTGGGTTTGTTGTATATGGCTTTAATTATGTTGAGTTATGTTCCCTCCAGTACAATTCCCTCTAGGACTTTGAACATAAATCCATGTTGAATTTTCTCAAAGGCCTTCTCTGCATCTATTGAAATGACCATGTGGTTCTTGTCCCTGAGTCCATTTATATGATTCATGACATTTATTGATTTACATATATTGAACCATCCCTGCACCTCTGGAATAAAGCCAAATTGATCAAGGTGGATAATCTTTCTGATGTGTGTCTGTATGCAGTTTGCAAGTATTTTGTTGAGAATTTTTGCATCTATGTTCATGAAAGATATGGGTCTATAGTTTTCTTTTTTGGTTGTATCTTTACCTAGCTTTAGTATTAGAGTGATGCTGGCTTCACAGAAGGAACTGGGAATTCTCCCTCCATTTCTATTTTTTTTTAATGAATTAAGTAGGATTGGATGTAGATCTTATTTAAATGTCTGGTAGAATTCTGCTGTAAATCCATCTGGTCCTGGGCTTTTTTTAGTCTGGAGGTTTTGTATTACTGTTTCAATTACCTTATATGTTATGGGTCTGTTTAAGCTGTTGATCTCTTCTTGGTTTAGTTTTGGTGGTTCCTATGCTTTTAGATACCCGTCCATTTATTTTAGGTTTTCGAATTTAGTAGCAGACAGGTTTTTAAAGTATGCCCTTATTCTGGATCTTTTTGGTGTTTGTTGTGATGTTTCCCCTTTCAT